GTTGGTGGGGTTGGCCAGGTATCTTCACCACATCTGCTTTCTCTATGTTGACCTGAAGTCCTATCTTTGATGTTTCTTCTGCCAACTTGTTGTTTTTCGCTTGCATATCTTCCAGTTTGTGGGAAATCAGACATATATCATCGGCGAAGTCCAGATCCTCCAAGCTTTTTGTGTGAGTCCATTTTTTGCCTGTTTCCTCATTGCCCGCTGTTTGTCGCATTATCCAGTCTACTGCAATCAAGAAAGTCTAATAAAATATGGAATTTAGAAAAAATCTCAGCTATGGCATTTCATACAGTTGCATACAGCTATAAAATAGGATTGGAAAAGATGATGGTATTGGAATCTAACGTAGGAGGGTGGAAGAAGAGATTGCCAGCTGGAACTTTATTTATTAAATCAACTGAGAACACATGCAACAAGAATGATTTAACACCTACCCGGGATCGGAATCATAGGCTTCGGTAGAACAAGAAGTAACTTCAGAAAACTGTATGCTCGCACGTCTAAGTATAAAAATTCTATGATACCATACTTGGCACGTATTTTATGTGATGAAAATAGCGTCAGTCAAGAATTGACTAACCTTTTTTCATCTAGTAAATAAACAATCTCCTCCATCCACCCTTATATACCTTGAAGTTTTACTTTTATTATTTGTATTATATTTATCGTCCTGTTGATTCTTTGTTTTACTTTCATAACTGCAAACACCAACTTATCTCTATGACTGCTGTAATCTTTGATTTTTTCCCTCACCATATCATGTAAAGAGAACATTATATTCAATATTTTTTAATCAAGCAAGGATTTGTATACCGCATCGACAATACTGTGTGAAACAAGCCCACGGCAATTTTCACTTGTATTATTATCATTATCTTAGTTGCTATCATTATTATTATTTCCATTTTATATGCTGCATGTTTTTTTTTATATTACCCCTATTGTAAATGTAGAAAAATTTTCTGTATGATTAATTTTATTTATAATTTGAGGAAATTAGATGCAATATTGTGATTAATGCTGAAAATTCCATTCTATATCACAAGTACTGTTTTTGGAATAAAGGAAATTATAATAATTATTATCATAAATATAACAATAATAATAATAGCTTCATTCTGAACCGTGTTTATATAATCTGCAGAATTTTCAGTGGAGTTTATTGCATGAATTTCTTGTCTAGGATCTTCAAATATAACATTAATTGACAATAGGTTGTATGAAAGAGTTCTATCTGACCTGAAGTGTAAGCCAATCCATTATGATGTTATCTCTTCTTTTTCTCCTTCAAGAAATTCACAACATTTTGTTGAATGTCAATTTTAATTTTTTAGTTTTATTATAGCTTGATTCCATACAGTATTTTGGTACAAGTGTGGAATTTTCAGCATGTGATATCGGTAGCCCAAATTTTGCAGGCCGACCACAGATATCAGGTGTGCATCGGCGGGGGATCGAACCTCGGCCACAGGATGATCCTGCATGCCGGTCTCGTCTCGCAGGAGGCAGGGATAGGTGTGTTTGGTCCTCCTGAGAACCAATACCCAGTCAATGGGTGTATCACTGTGTGTGTGTGCGTCGGTGGCACAGTGGTTAGGTCTCTCGCCGACCATGCACATGGTCCGGGGTTCGATCCCGTGCAGAAGCACACCCGATATCTATGGTCGGCCTGCAAAATTCGGGCTACCGATATCCATCCTGAAAATTCCATACTTGTACTGAAAATACGGTGTGGAATCAAGCTGTAATCAAAAATAAAATAAAAATAAATATAGATATTTAGAATACTCGCCAAACTAACTGATGTCAGCTCATGATGAAAACCTTCAACCAATCAAACACAATTCCTACAAAACCAATACTTGAAAATTGATCTGATGCTCACTAGCAACTGGCCCTATTCAGGCAGTTGACCTGGGGTTCTAGTGGGAAGCCGTAACCAGTAAGTAGGGTACAGCAGGTTGAAGATGAGGCAGTAACTCATCGAAGAATACATTGCGAAATGGTCGCGGTATGTCGTGAATTGTTAGAAGTTGAAATTCATGGACTGGCCATTGGATCGGGTCCCAGTGGCTCAATGGTCTACGAGCACGATCGCCTTGTAACCAGAAGGTCCTGGGTTCGAACCCTGTTAGTGGGTGCGTACTGATGAAGAGTCCCGAACTAGGACGAAACAGGTGGCTGTCCAGTACTACCATCTAACTGATGTCAGCTCATGATGAAATCTTCCATCCAGTCTAAATAACACCATTCAAGGTCATATTTTATTAGATTTAAACAAATTGAACAGTGGTGGTATTGATGGAGGTTTTTCTCGCTAGCCCAGATTTTAAGCAGGCTGCCTTGTTATGCAATCAATCGATCAGTGTTGATACATTCACATTTTGTAAATAATATTGTTAACCTCGAAAAAAAGAGATTTAAAAAAAATATAATGTCATATATTGGAAATTATGTGAATAATAATTGTTAGGTCAGATCATGAGTTGTGTGTAGTGTTAGAAAAAATTTGATACAGAAAAACAGAACGAATCAGCTGAAACATAAAAGCGTTCCGTCTTTCTAAAACTGTGTACGTGTGCGAAAACTCATTCCAATTCAACAAAATCATGTTGTATTGCCTAAAAAAACCAACTGTGTCAAATATGCTAACTGCTCTTAAATATTATGCTTAAAGCTAAAATAAACGAATATGATAGAGATAAACTGTTGACCATGGTGTTATTTAGCTGATATAGGCTAACAGTGGATAATTACTGGGATATGGCTGTTTAGAACTCGTCAACTGGACGTAGCTGTATCCCTAGGGAATACTAGTGTTCATATTAGTATATATTATTATGGTTTCCCTTAATTCCTAGAGGAACATAGGGCTTCAGCCGTACGTCTCCATTGCCTTCGGTTCTCTGCTAAAGTCTTCACCTGCCTCCATGTCTGCCCAAATGCTTTCATCTCCTCTTCACACGACCTCCTCCAAGTCACCCACCCTCACACTGACGACCAACTCGCCGCTTCCGATTCAGTCGGGTTCCACTCGAGCAATGGCTTGTCTAGTGATGTCACTTGATGCATTGTTTCCTCAAAGTATGGCCAATCCACCTAACTCCATTTCTTCCTGCCTATTTGTTTCACAATCGGTTCCTGCTGAGTTGGTTCGCCCATTGCCAGAGATCTCTGTTACTGATCTTTTCTGGCCAGCCATCTGATTTTGACGAGTATTGAGCGAAGACAACTGTTAATGAAGGTTTGTAGTTTGTTTGAGATGCTCTTTATGACGCGCAGTGCAAGTCTCTGATCCGTATAGTAGCACTGACTGACTTGACATTGGAGTTGAAAATCCGGATCTTATTTTTGATGCTGAGTTCTGTTGACCTCCACACAGGCTTGAGAGTAATGAAAGCTTGTCTTGGTTTTCCGATTGTTGCTTTGATATCCTCGTCAGTTCCGTCCACCTGTAGTTGAAACGATGCTTCCCAGGTAGGTAGGTAAAAGAGGTAGTTTCTTTCAGGTTCCTCCCATTTATGCTGATCGTTGTCTGTTGTTGACGGCCAGGAATCTTCATCACCCCTGTTTTCTCTACGTTCACCTAAAGCTCCTACCTTTAATGCTTCTTCTGCCAACTTGTTGCTTTTCACTTGCATATCTTCCAGTTTGTGGGAAATCAGACAATTATCATCACGGGGAAGTCCAGATCCTCCACGTTTTTTGTGTGAGTCCATTTTATGTCTGTCTCCTCATTGCCCGCTGTTTGTCGCATTACCCAGTCTACTGCAATCAGGAAAATCATTGGCGATAGTAGGCAGCTTTGCCTTACTCCCGTCTTCACTTCGAAGGATTTCGTAAGTTTCCCGTTGTGGATTACTTGGCATGCAGCGTTGTCATACAACTGTTGGATGAGATGTATAATTGTCGGCGGCACCCCGTAGTAGCGAAGTAGTTTCCAAATCACCTCTCGATCGACGCTGTTGAAGGCCCTTTCAAAGTCGATGAAGTTGAGATAGAGAGGTGACTGCCATTCCAAGCTTTGTTCAATGATGATACGTAATGTGGTGATCTGATCAATGCATGACTTGTTTCTCCTGAATCCAGCCTGTTCCGGTCGAAGTTTTTCATCCAGGGCATGTTTGATTCTCTTCAGGACTGATGCGGCTTAGTATTTTGCTTGGGATGGACAAGAGCATAATTCCGCGCCAGTTCTTGCATTGACTTAGGTCTCCTTTCTTTGGTAGTTTGAATAAGTATCCTTTCTTCCAATCCTCGGGTACTTTGCCTTCTTTCCACACCTTCTCCAGTAGTGGCGTCATCAAGTCCGCTGTTGTTTCTGGGTCCATTTTCAATGCTTCTGCTGGGATTCCATCTGGACCTGCTGCCTTTCCAGCTTTTAGCATCTTGATTGCCTTCAGGGCTAGTGTTCATAATGAGAATTGAATCCAACACCCATCATTCTAAAACAGCAGCAGGAACAACATTCAGTGGGAATGGAGATATCTCTAGCTAAGAAATCTGAAAGAGGAGAAAATTCGAGTAGTGCATTCTACTGCTAACCACTACTCGTCACTTTGGGTTTTGAGAGGAACATAGAACTCCAAGTTTCAGCATTGGAGTTTTAGTAGCACTTATGTTTTACAGAGCAGGTTTGCTAGTCTCACGCCTAACCCCTTCCCATCTTACACCAGCCTTATACGGGCTAAGCGAGATTTGAAAGTGCGTCAGGAGGGGATCATACTTGGGACCATGTGAAGCGTGGTTGGTGAGTATTCTGCACCCTTGACCCACCGACTCTAACGATCCTTCAAAATAGGACTTCATAAATATTCTGTCGTACCGTGTCGATTTTCTGTCAATACTTTTTTGGTATTATCACGTTACGACATCGATAAGATTAGGAATATTCAGTGTGTATGTGTGTGAGTATATATTTGTCTATTTATTGATTATTTTATTTACTCTTTTATTTTTAATTAATCAATTATAATTAATAATAACAATTATAGGCTCAATCAATCAGTGAAAACGATTTAGCACTTGTTCATGACAGAGGATATATTAAAAAGGTGAAAGAATCAGCAAAAATGACAAATCGTGAATTATACTCACTATCAGGACAATATGACGGTGTATTCTTTAATCAGGTATGTTACAGATTAGTTGGTATTTTACGTTCGTTTATTCTCTTGCCTATTCGCATTTTTTCACATATAATCTTTCTTAGAATTTTTAAATAAAACTATATTATGAAGTGCTGGTTGACAGCGATTTGATTGGTTACAAGTTTAGTCGCCAGCTAACATCAGTTAGAGAATCGCCCTGGTTTGGAACTCTTCAGCGGTACGCACCTACTGGGGTTTTCACTCAGTGCCTTACCACTGTTGGAATTCATAGGCAGTTGAACTCTTTCCCAGTGCCTGAATGGTCTACGATCTGTCCTTGTAACCGGAAATTCGTAGGTTCGCACTTCGGTAAATGCGTGCTGCTGAAGAATCCCAAACTAGGATGAAATAACTATCAAATACTCCCTGGTATTCCAGTGATTCTCTATTCGATGTTTACTCGTGATAAAACTTGTAAAAGTCTACTCTATTTTATTATGCATTCCTAGTGGAACCTAGAGCTTCAGAAGAACGGACCTACTGTACGACATTCCCTGACTTCGAGAATTGTTAAATCACAAGTTTTCATTTTATCATCTTCATATTATTCCTGACATACCACCCTCACAATCATGCCCAACTTATCGCTTTACATCTAAGTTACACTAGATGGTGTGATGTCATTTGAAGATTTCCTTAGCGGATGTCCAATTCCGAAGGAGGTTGGTTCCCATGTAGCCACCATTGTTTTCCAAGTTATTGGTGAAACTGTGAGAGAGATACAACCAGTGTACCACTAATAGTCGTGTGGGTAATCGCAGTAGATGACTGACTCGTCATTTGACAATTGGCGGAGTCCATGTGCATTCCATCCTCTCACACAGATTCCTAACCGACTGGTTTCAACATAAAACTTTGCACAGATGTCCAGAAGTTCATCTTGCCACTCTCCCTCCATGTACAACATAAAGCAAGAGAAGAGACATTCAAAAGGCAGAGAGATAATAAACACAAGTGTCAGTGAGGGAAAAAGAACAGTAGTAATATAGAAGAACAATACGGTTTTATTCGATACGACAAGTGACAAAGAGTGAATGCATCTTCGCCAGCTATCATTGAGAACGATTTTCAGCCACATCACCACTGGTTGCTACTATACCGACGACCTCAGCCTTCCAGGAAGGAAGTCTACACCTCCCTATGTGACTTAAACGAACTGTTATGGATTTGACTGAATGATGAAGCCATGGTTTGGTTTGACCATCACTAGCTCTTTTCCAACCTCATCTTCGGTCAGTTAAGATTGCCCGTCGATGAAGGTGATGGCTAGGTATGCATAACACATGTCCTGACCATCTCAATCGACGTAACTTCACAACCTTGTAGACTGATTCTTCCCCCTTACCTACCACTCAACGCCCAACGTAAATATTACTCACCTTATTCAGATTCCTAACACTTCTAAACAATGCTTAAAAACTACTTAATTCTCGATCTAATAAAAAAACTTAGAATTTTTATGATCCGACAAGAACCTGAACACCTTCTCAACCTAATATTAATCCACCTAAGATGAGTAGTAGAAGAGATAAGAAGCATTTGGTGGGCTGAAGATGTTGCTCCGCAAGTCAAATATCCAGCACAGAGAAAACAACTACATCAAAATCATCATTCACCTGAGCTACAAGTTTTCTCGACTATATCTTAAAGGTATGCATCTTTTTAGAAACAGTACAGTTATCGACATAACATTACTGTTCGAAACACCATTCTTAGTCTGACATTGTTACAGCACCGTTGGATCGACGAAGTGAAACGTGACGAACATGTCTAGTCTTTTCGTATATGTTCTACTTTTGGTGGTGAAGAAGTGATGCGGGACTAACTGATGCCTAGTCACATGGCTAATTGAATATTTTGCCTAATCCAAACGGCATAGGTTGCGTTGGCGTGCTATAATGGCTGAGTACTTAATAACAACTTATTGCTATCACTGGGAATATCAGTCAGACCTGCTGCCTAAGTATTTACAGTGTGATGATATTAGATAGTTGGTAGCCTTGGACCTAGGTTTCCCGCTAGTTGGCACTCGTCAGCAAGGCGTATCTGCAACCTTGAAGGAACTCATGTCCCTTCTGAGATTCGAACCCGCGTCACCCAGTGAGTCCTGCAGTCAGAGACGTTAACACTGAGCTATTCGGGCTCGCGATTGACCTCCTGTAGGACTGTGGTGGATATCAAGATTTGACACTAGTAACTAGTGTGATGCGTCTTGTCCTCTCTTTGGAGCAGACTGAATTCTATCAGTCAGGTTGACGAGTGCCAACTAGCACGAAACCTAGGTCAAGCAAGGCTTCCTGCCGATTGCCTCCAACCATCTAATATCATCACAAACAATGTACACCGTGATGGCGAGCTACCTAGAATGGTGGCCACATTACAACCTGACTGATAGATTTCAGTCTGCATCAAAGAGAGGACTAGACGCATCACACTAGTTACTAGTGTCAAATCAAAATATTTACAATGTATATTGTATCTCCTAATCTATCGTTGACAACTCAAGAGTACTTTGATTGTCATTTGAGACTCCTAAATGTCCATTTCACGCCCACATTTCCTAATTTTCCATACAGGAGTAATGCATAAATCGAGAGAATAGCAGACGATGTCAGAGGGGAAAGAGTTACAGAATGACCGCTACTCTACAGTGGGATAAGTTAGAGATTAGTAAAACTATCACCGGGCAACGCCTTTTGTACTGTCCCAGTACAGGAGTCATTACCTTGTGACAGTAGAATTCAGTCTTTACTAACAACAGAGGGGTTAAATACTTTACCTTGTGCCTTTGATCCAAGTGAGACTAGAGCAGCTCCAGAAGTTTATGCAGTAATCATCATGTTTAATGGTTCCGCGTAAGTGGCAGTGGAACACAGATGCAAAAAACTCCTGCCTTCCTCTTCGCTCAACAAACTAATCCAAAGCACCAATCACTACGCAACGGACCACCCTCACAATCACGTGTAAGTGTAAGACAACAACTACGCTTTCTTTGTATATTTCTGAGAGCAATTACTGACCAATACACTGCCATACCAATACTAGACCATACAACCCCTACACTACTCGAAATCCCTTCACCAGTATGACACTAACGCAATTCACCGCCTAATTATCCCGCCGGACAGAACAAGCAGTCTCACTACTTCACACACACTCACATTCAACCCAACCTCATACAATGACTCGATAACGCGATCTAAGAGAATCGGTTCAAAAATAACAACGTCAGAGGTAAATGATGAATATATATTGAAATATCAACGACAACAATGAAAGCAGCAGTAGTAGCAATAGTATAGTTGTAGTAGTAGTAGTAGTTAGACAACAATCATTCAAGCATCTTCAATCTCCTCTTCAAATTCACCCTCCTCCTCAGCCGTTGCATCTTGATACTGTTGGTACTCACTCACCAGGTCATTCATGTTCGACTCAGCCTCCGTGAACTCCATCTCATCCATACCCTCACCAGTGTACCAATGCAAGAAAGCTTTACGACGGAACATAGCAGTGAACTGCTCAGACACACGCTTGAACAACTCTTGGATGGCTGTGCTGTTCCCAATAAATGTCGCTGACATCTTCAATCCACGAGGTGGGATGTCACAAACAGCCGTCTTCACGTTGTTCGGAATCCACTCGACAAAGTAACTCGAGTTCTTGTTCTGCACATTCAACATCTGTTCGTCAACCTCTTTCATTGACATACGACCACGGAAAATAGCAGCCACTGTCAAATAACGTCCATGTCGTGGATCACATGCCGCCATCATGTTCTTTGCATCAAACATCTGCTGTGTCAACTCAGGAACAGTCAACGAACGGTATTGTTGACTACCACGACTTGTCAGCGGTGCAAAGCCAGGCATGAAGAAGTGGAGACGTGGGAAGGGAACCATATTCACTGCCAACTTACGCAAATCAGCATTCAGTTGACCTGGGAATCTCAAACACGTTGTCACTCCTGACATGGTTGCACTCACCAGATGGTTCAAATCACCGTATGTTGGAGTTGTCAACTTCAGAGTCCGGAAGCAGATGTCGTACAGTGCCTCATTGTCGATACAATAGGTCTCGTCTGTGTTCTCCACCAACTGATGAACGGAGAGCGTTGCATTGTACGGCTCCACGACAGTATCCGAGACCTGAAAGACCACAAATACTCTTGTCAACAAGCATCAATACATCAATAATACAATATCCTGAGTCACTAACTAACAACACCTTCCCTATTCTACAAATCACCTAGTAGTGAGTCAACACACCTCAAACTACTCCATACATGATACCAACCTGAACTAAATAATCAAATTTATGGATACTAGCACTACAACTATTAAATTTAAATATAGCAATACTTACTTTAGGTGAAGGAACAACTGAGAACGTGTTCATTATCCGATCAGGATACTCTTCGCGTATCTTCGAGATCAACAGTGTACCCATTCCAGAGCCAGTACCACCACCAAGTGAATGAGTCAACTGGAAACCTTGGAGACAGTCACACGACTCCGACTCTTTCCTCACCACATCCAACACAGAGTCAACCAACTCAGCTCCCTCCGTATAATGACCCTTCGCCCAATTATTACCAGCTCCACTCTGACCAAATACGAAATTATCTGGACGGAACAGTTGTCCGAAAGGTCCAGCACGAACACTGTCCATTGTTCCAGGTTCTAGATCCACCAGAATAGCTCGTGGGACATACTTTCCACCAGATGCTTCATTGTAGTAGACGTTGATGCGTTCCAGTTGTAGATCAGAGTCACCATGATATGTTCCTGTTGGATCGATTCCATGTTCATCCGAGATGACTTCCCAGAACTGCACAATTTAAAGATGCACATGCAAAGGGTATTAGTGAATGCACAAAGTTCAATAGAATATCACAGAACATGACAATAAGGTATGGTGTATATGTGTTTCGACATACCTTGGCACCAATCTGGTTTCCACACTGACCAGCTTGAATATGGACAATTTCTCTCATGATAGTCGGTCACTAGAATGGAAATACACGAAACGAAAACGAAAATTACTGCTGAGTGTCAGTAGTGGACTTGCCAACCTATTTATACCACTTTTTTCAACCAATGAATGAACTTGATCACTAAATCTAAAATGATTGGTGGAAAGTTTTTTTCATTATTGTGATTGGTGGATGGAAGAGGTCTGATGTGTCAGTGAGTGGGCTGGGCTGAACTGAAATGATTTTTGTTTGTGTGTAAGGAGTGGAAAGGGGGAGAGTTTTCTCCGTGTTCTTTCTAAAGTTTTTGTTTGGATTTTATTGCTTACACAAATAGTTTATGAGTATCCAGCTGTCGTAGATGTTACGAATTGTCTGGAATATTTTGCTCAACGAGTTAGATTGAATGCGCAGAATTAATTTGGTGGATGGTGATAAGCACTGAAATCCAGGATGTTTTTTGTCCTACTTAGAACTCGTCAGGTAGATAGGTAGATGTACCGTCAGTGCTTAGAGTGTGCTGTTTGTGTGACTGGCCACGCTATTGTGTCGTGTTATGTAATGTTTGGGCTACTTATTTCAATTGACTTTGGCAATTTAGAGTCGTTATAATAGTAGTTTACAGAATGATAATTTCACGCTGATAATTTCATCCCTCGAAACTTGCAACAGAAGTGATGTGATGGTGTGTAGATATATTGCGTCTTATTTTGCACTGATGTGTGAGATTCCTAGAATATTGTCATGTGGCAAAGTAACAAGCTTATTTCAGTAATATAAAAATGGCGTAGAATACCTTGGAATAATTGTGTCCTTTGATGTATCTTGGTCATCGCATATCTTGTCAATTTCTAGGAGAATGTTGCGTCTAACCTTCTATTCTACATTAAGAAGTTAAGGCAGTCTGGAATGACTCAAAGTCTACATTTACAGTCGATTAACTCTTGTGTCTCACCTGTTAGAATTTACTGCTTCGCCTTAGTCTTTCCTACTGGTCTACTCAAAAAGGGCTGTGCCGTATTGAGGAGGGTATTGAAGGTGATCAGTAGGGTGTGTGGGGTACCACTTAATCAGTTTGTTACTACAGTAATTGATAGACACCTAAACTCATGTGAGAAATAATCCAAATCCATATTGCCTGACACTGAACACTCCCTCTGTTCTCATCTCTTCCCTAGCCGCATCTCATCAGGTAGGACTAGAAATCATTACAATGGTCGTACGATGAAGTAGAGAAACTGAATGAGAGCATATGTGGTCTGCCCGTCGGCGTCCTATGTGATAGCGCTAGGCGCGAAACCTACAGCTTACAATGCTTTGTTATATTAGCAAAATAATCGGCTCTTTTATTCTCTCCTCTTTGTAATCCGTGGTGACACTCACTATTTCAATCAACCTATAATTTTAGCTACGAACAACATCACTATCGTCAGTTTACACTTTCGGTACATTTTAGACATTACTGACTGTCACTGGTAATACCACAATACCCGTTATTATCTATCAGTCCTGTAATATAATGTTTTCCATTTTTGTCTTTGGTGTCGTTGAGTAAATTAAATGAAATATTGTAGGAAATGGTGAGAAACGCACACTGTATAATAAGTACTGTTTTGAAATCAAGCTAATTATTATTATTATTACTATTCTCGTATACACAATTAGATAGAAGAAGGATATATTGAGCGAAGAAATATATACCTTGTTAGCTAGTTAGTTAGTTCTTCATCACTCACCCTACACTAATATAGACATGTATAGGTTTGAAGTAATTCTGAGGATGGTGATTAGCAGTGGAATCCACGACGAGCATTTCGTGCTATTTTTGACTGGTCAGCTAGTGGACGCACTTGCATTCCCCAATGAGACAGTGATGGTGTTCCTACTGAGGCTGGAAGCCAGCACCCATAGTTTGAAACGCGAAAGCGTTATCCACTAGACCACTTGGGAGACGAGAGCCAGCCACCTCTTGTGCCACTGGGTATCAGTAATTTTTATTGAATTATTGAATTGAATTGAGATTTTCCCTATTGATTGCACTATCCAGTCTACCACCCGCAATCAGGAAACTCATTGGAGATAGTAGGCAGCCAACCAGCCAGCCAGCCTTGTCTTACTCCCGTTTCCACTTCTTCGAAGGATTCCTTGAATTTACCGTTGTGAATAATTTGGCATGCAGCATTGTGGTACAACTGTCGGATGAGTTGTATAATTACTGACAGCACCCTTTGGTAGGAGCGAATTAGTTTGCAAATCACCTGTTGATCGTCTCTGTGCTATCTAAGGCCTTTTGAAATTCTGACTTTTAATACAATGTTCCCTTAATTGCAGTCCTAGGAGCAGTTACTTTTTTGGAACTGTAGGCACCGTAGGTATTAACTGGAATTATTGAACACAGTTCATGGGAGTCGTTTATTTTGAGGTTTTACCACATGTATATTGGATACTTCACAGAATGGGAAACAATATTATTTATTGCATGTCATTTGACACGCAATCTATTGTCCATAAACATATCGTCATTTGTAAGTGCACAAATTCAAAACTTTCTTTTTATAGGTCTCTTTATTCTTCGCCACTCGTCTTTTGCGGTAGTCGAGTTCTTGCGATGTCCGTGACAAGCATTGTGTCATTCATATTGCACATATTTCCAGTTGATTCGATAAATAAGGCTCTAGTTATCAATCTCTCCCTCCACTCTGCTATATTAGAGTTTATAATTATCATCTAATCCCATCCTATTGTATTTTTCTGTGTGTAATTGCGTGTAGTTCTGTAGTTGAGCTATTTTCTAGATTTCTCAGTTTTTTAGAGTCAACTAATCTAGATTTTACTAAGTTTTCGCGCTCCGCTAATCTGATTAATAACGGAAGTTTTATTAAATTGAATATTCCCGTAATTTATCAAATCAATAGAGAGTATGTTCAGAAGGCGTAATTCAGCACGTGTCCCGGACATTTCGAGAATTCGACTACCCCAGAGACCAGTGGTGAAAATCCTGTAACCAATCAAATCCCTACAAACCAACACTAGAAATATAAAACTTAAGTTTTGAAGTTCTTTTTAGCGATAATAAATATGAATAAATAAATAGATACATATAAATTGTGTTCAAAATGTCAGCCAGTATATAACACCGGTTCTGTAGATTTCTTCTAAGAAATCCGAAGTGATAGTCAAATCGATTAGTTAAACCACACACTCACGTTGAACAACGCTCAATAACCCAAAATTCAAGATTTTTCAATGATACATAAATTAATGAAATATAATATAGAAATCTAAAATTGTAAAGTATCTATGGCTGAATGCCATCAAATGCCCAATTACTGAGCGTCAATAGGAAAAACGTTAACCGAATTCATACGTGAGACATACCGTCTTGTTGAATCTGTATGGGAAGTGAGCAACAAGTTTGGTGGCATGAGTTGGAGTGTGACATGGACAAGATCCTATGATGAGGAGGAGGAGAAGGATGAGGAATAGGAGGAAACGGAAGTTTTGGGCAGTCATTGAGCTGTTAATATATGTGTAGAATTTGGGCACTGTGGTGGTAAGTAATTCCATATTAGTTTATTTATTAGATGTGTCATGGAAAATTCCCATTGTAACATATAGAAAATAAAAAGAAATGATTCAGCGAAGAGACTCTTTTCACACCTATGTTTCAATTCCCCCACCGGATATAACTTCTTAAAAACCATATATATATACGATTGTACAGCTTGATGGTAAATTCGTTGAAAAGAGTCTCTTCGCTGAATCATTTGTTTTGACTTTCTATTAGATGTGTCACACAGTGAGGAAACAGTATTATTTACTGGATGACAAAGTTTCGAACAAAATTTATTGTTCATAATCATATCAGTTATGACAAAGCTTCTGTTATAAATCTCTCCCTCCACCCTATGATATTAGATTTTAAAACTGTCATCTTATCCCATCATCTCATTGTATGGTTATGTGTAATTGCATACAGTGCTATAGCTGAACTACTCTCTAGATTTCTTATCTTATTCGGGTCAACCAATCGAGATTTTGCTAGGTTTTTATGTTTAGCTAGTCTGACTGCCTCTGTTCTACTACTTTGGCCTATGTATTTGACCTGACAATGATTCCAGCAGGGTAATAGATAAACTAAATTGTTTTGTTTTAAAGGCTCTACAGGATCCTTTAACCGACAAAGCTTGTTTCTAATTGAGTTTGTGGGTTTGAATGCCGTTTTTATTCCTGCCTTGTTAAGAATTCTGCGTATGGCTTCCGTGGTACCTTCCTTGTATGCAATTACTACTGATGACTTAGATTCCTTATTGTTGGCGTTGTCAATATCCTGAGCATGTTTGACATTCATGTCATCGCTAATATTACTATTATTGTCACTATCACTATAATTATTCTTTATTTTATTTTTACACTTTCCTACATACTTCCTGATTAATTTATCAGGGTAATTATTAAGTTTCAAGGCTTCTCTTATATACCTTACTTCCTGTCTTAGATTTTCCTTGGTACTACTTAGTTTTTGTGCTCTATAATTTAAACATTTCACCAATCCTATTTTTACTGACATAGGATGGGATGATCGGAAGTCCAAATATATGTTTGAATGTGTGGGTTTCTTGTAAACACTAGTGTGCTTAACTTCCCATGTTCTTTCCATTTTACTCTACAATCTAACATTGGAAGCTCCCCTACCTGACTTTTCAATTCATCATAAGTGAATTGGATTGCCTCCACCTTTGAGTTAATGTGTTCGAAAAATCTCTCTATATCCTGTGTTCTAAGTACAGTGAATGTGTCATCTACATACCTCCACCATACTTGTGGAGTGGGGCTGAACGTCCGAAACGTTATCCAGTGAATAATACTGTTTCACTGTATGATGCATCTAATAAACAAACACAAATGTGGAGTCATTGAGCTAGTTGAAGGCGGTAGAATAGTGATATTCCACTGGGAAAGCAACGGATGAATAATAATAATAACATGATGCTTTATGCCATACATTTATAAATCGAATATTTTATTTGCTGTCTTGTAACTGTTGTATATCACATGGCTGATATAAATTGTCTGCAGATTATTGATTCATTTCTACATATAAATTCAAGATTATGTATAAGTGAAAAAGTTTATTTAATGGTTGGAATTTACAGACAGACTCTTTACTGAGTTTTGATCTCTAATTGTTATAAATTCTATAGACAGAGTCTTAATCCACAGAAGCACTCTTCTTTGCATTACGATTCGGTATCAGTTGGAGAACTGTTGAAAGTCAAGGAGTTCTGAATCAGCCGTTTTGTCCGAGTTTACAACACTTTATCTGAACGCACCTATAAGTTCACTGGGGCTAGAATTCTTGACCTCTAGGTTATGAAGCGAGTATGTTGCCATCTTTTAATCACTGTGACAGAATTGAATGATCCATAAAATTCTCACTTCACTTCATCTTGGCATGATAGATCACATTGGCTACAAATTCGTATTACATCTTCAAATTCTCCAACCTATCAGCTGTTAATCACGTAACGTGAAGATCCTGAATTTGACCTGTAGTGAGATCGTAGGCTGTGATGCGTTACTGAATAATTCACGAAAAATTCCCATTCGAACATTAATAGACAGAAGACAAGTAGTTCAGCAAAAAGTCTCTTTTCGACGGCGAATTCATTTTCATATCTGTACAATCGCAAATATATATATATGGTTGCTTTGTATGTGTGTGTACATTAAATTTGTCAAACGAAAGTACAATTAGTAAGTTCGGATGAATTGGATGTTGATATAAGAGAGTGGTAGTAATAAAAGTGATGAGTTGTCACAAACGATTGTTAGAGTTACGTAATAAAACGAAATTACAATTATTAAGAACACCTCGTCAATACTGATCAGTCCATCTCAACAAACGCCTCCTTCAGAGTAATCTACAAAGTGAAGAACAACCTTCCAAAGACAGCACGGTTCCGTCTTCTTTGCATCACAGAAGCCATAACCATTAGGCTAGAGGAACCAGAACTGTGCATACAATAGAAAGTCATTCAACCACTTCTACTCTCATGGTAACAACTGTGTTGATTTGACTTAACTTTTCTTTGTTTGTTTGATTTGATTTGACTTAAGTTTTGTTTGTATGCTTATTTTTCTACTCAAAACCCTTGTGTAATTCTGTATGTTATTTTGTTTCCATGTACACCCTGAGCACAACTCTTTCATTAAACTATTCGTGTTATTACGTAACTCTAACAATCGTTTGTGACAACTCATCACTTTTGTTACTACTACTCTCTTATATCAACATCCAATTCATCTGAACTTACTAATTGTATTTTTGTTTGACAAATTTAATGTACACACACACACATACAAAACAACCATATACAATATTTGCGATTGTACAGCTATGAAAATGAATTCGCCGTCGAAAAGAGACTCTTCGCTGAACTACTTGTCTTCTGTCTATTACTGAATAGTCTCAGAGTACATCGAGAAAGCTGTCCAGTACTCTCTAGTTTTCAGTGATTGTCTAACTGATGAAATCTGAATTGCAATTCATCCATATGTCTACAAAATCCATAATCTGAACATACATATTGATCCCACTTTCCCACCATTTCTTTCCTTGATTGGGTGGAGGATTTCATCATGAGCTGACATCAGTTAGAGAACCACTGAAAAACCACCAGGGAGTACTGGACAGCTGTTTCGTCCTAGTTTAGGACCCTTCATCAGTATGCACCTACGAATAATTGAAAAATTTTTTCTTTCTTTTTCTTTCTTTTTATCAAAGTCTACATGGTTATGCGCAAAATTAGCTGCTGGTAGTGTAAAACGTCTTACTCACTTAGTTTACAGTGGTAGACTAGCAAATGGTTTGGCACTGGTTCGTCCACCTGGTCATCATGCTATGCAGTCGGAAGCCTGTGGTTATTGTATATTTAATAATATTGCTATAGCTGCTGCAAGTCTACTTCAACCAAGACGGCCGAGTCCATCGCCATCATCTTCACCACCAGAAGATTCAATTACCAATGAATTATTATCAGCTCAACGGATTCTTATTGTCGATTGGGATATACATCATGGACAAGGAACACAATATACATTCTATGATGATAATCGGTTAGTTTGTGTGATTCTGATTTTTTATTTTATATTTAACTGCTACTCATAATGAGTTAGATAGTATTCGTCTAATCCTTCCTGGTCTTCCTACATCAAGTTCTTTTCTAGAAAGATATTTTATCTAGTCTTCTACGTGAGACTCAGTCTCTACTGTTATATTATTATTATTTAATTCCTAGAGGAACATAGGGCTGCAGCCATGCGTCTCCATTGCCTTCGGTCTTCACCTGGCTCCTTGTCTGCCCACACGCTCTTATCTCCTCTTCACATGACCTACTCCAAGTCACCCACCCTCGCACTGACGACTAACTCGCCGCTTCCCATTCAGCCGGGTTCCACTCGAGCAATGGCTTGTCTAGTGATGTCACTTGATGGTTTCCTCAGAGTATGGCCAATCCACCTAACTCCATTTCTTCCTGCCTATTTCTTTGACAATCGGTTCCTGCTGGGTTGGTTCGCTCATTGCCAGAGATCCCTCCCTGTTGCTGATTTTTTCTGGCCATGTCTCTACTGTTTTAGTGTGTTAATTCTTGTATTCTACACATTCTTCTTTATTACTCCCCTACCCTGAATCTTTCCTGGGTTACTTATGATTGATGGCTGCTTTAATCACCCGGCTACCTAAATTTCAATCCGGTATTATTATGATAATAGTACTGAAGATGCATCAGTGATTCATTCATATAACGGTTAAACTCATCAATCATTCTCCTGGTAATGAAATCATGTGGGCAAAACTCCAGGAGTAGTAACCTCATTGTTGCTGGCTGGAAGTTCTGTCCTGTGACCCAGATATCTATTGCACCTTCAGTCATCACCCATCACATCAAAGTTTATTCGTCAGGAACATAATTTTATAAATCAATGATGTGGTGTAACTTATCTGGCTTAGTGGAAAACGTTTGGTTAGAATCTAAAGAGGGACAGCATCACATGATTGGATACGGGTTGGTCCAGATGACGAGTTGGAAATAGAGTGATACTTGTGCCCTGGATTCCATTACAAGTCATCACCAAGAGAAGTAGCTTCTAGTTATTAATCTCGGTAATACCAAGATATCCATTCAGGAGGTCATATACGGAAAGTGAGGTTGACCAATTCTGTTAGATTCATTAACAAGAAGTCATAAAGATGAATCATTCTGGCGTTTATAGTCAATCGGCAAAACGTTGTACTTTGTTTAGATATTGAGTTTGCCACTGGTGTAATTGTCAGAAAATTCTATTTTTAAACTTGAAGAAAGTTATTTTCTCTTGAAGGCCATAATTTGCATCAAACAGTAATGAAATCGAATGCTTTACTATTCCATTATTTAAGTGACAAGTGGTATTTAACCTATGATTTATTAAGCTTTCTCTGATTAAGTGTGTATGTCTCACTTTGACTTGAAGTGGAATTCACAGCGAATATTTCTTCTCATTTGAGACACATCGGTTGAATGTATTTGAATCTGGGTGATCAATCTCCCCATTGAGTCTTCAAATTAGCATCTGCCGTTTTGAACTCTACAGTGTTACCAGCAAATCTACGGAAACTTGAAGACAACTTCATTTACTATGAGTATGATTCAAAAGTCACTTTAAGTATACTTGAAATTTCCGGGAACTAGCTTATCACACCATTCAAGTATTGGTTTGTCGGGATTTGATTGATTGGTTGCAGGATTTCATCATGAGTTGCCATCGGTTACAGAACCATTGGAAAACCGTCACGGATTAGTGGGCAGATGTTTTACCGTCCTAGTTTGGGACTCCTGAGCAGTGCACATCCGCCGGGGTTCGAACCCGGGACCTTCTGCTTACAAGGCGAGCTACCTCGTAGATAATTAAGCCACTGGGACCCAATCCAGTAGCCATCCCACAAATTCCAACTTCTTCCAATTCGTGAATTCGTACGCGACTGGTACTAGCTAATGTAATCTCTAGCGAGTGTATTTCTTCACTCCTTACCTGGGGGATTCCACTTATGACGCATAGAATTAAAATTCTATTGTATTCATATGTAGATCTCCTTAAACGAGAAAACACTACTCATTAACGATCAAATGTTGGGGAGAAAAACAAATATTACGCAACAATATGTAGAAGAAAGTCATTTAGAAGTTAAACTGAAATTGGTTGAAGGGATATGAGTCCCTTCAGGGTGATCGCAGACAGGCTTTGCTGACTGACTGGTGAGTGCCAGATAGCACGAAACCTGACTCCAACCACCTAATAACAGCCATTCAAAGTTCACCGTGATGTCGAGCCACCTAGAGTGCTCGCCACATTGCAAACTTGACTGATAGAATTCATACTGAACGAAAAAAAGGACTAGACATGCAACACTAATTACAAACTAGTGTCCACTTAAAGGTATCTTGAAATGAATTGAGTACATTTTGCTTAATTGATGAAATAAAATGTGGAACATTAATTTAAAAAATGCTTAATCACAGTATATAGATGAGTCATACTGAAAATTAAGTCACACATAAAACAAATTTAGTGCAATCAAGTATGTTATGTAATCTAAGTTTGTCGGTCGGAAATAAAAAAAGACCTAGAGTAGTGAAAATTGTAAACAAAAAAAAACATGCAAAACAAAACTGAGTTAAGCTCACTTAGTTTAATTCAGACATATTCAAACGCATAAAAGTAAAGGCATTCGGCGATCAATTACTCCTCTTTTCGGCGATATCATTCTCAAGCTGTACAATCACATGTATGTAGTTAAAACTAATTTTCTTAGCAATAAAATGAATATTTCAAAGATTTGTCATAAGGATTGTAAATTTTACACAACAAATTTCGTTAATTGCTTAGATTAGTTAAGATTAAATGGGCAAGTTGAGTGACGTAATCTAATTGACGGGGTTGAGTAGAGCTCAGCTAAAATTAAAATTGAACAGAAGTCACGTTAATAGACAGAAGACAAGTAGTTCAGCGAAGAGTCTCTTTTCGGCGGCGAATTCATTTTCATGTCTGTACAATCGCAAATATATATATGGTTGTTTTGTATGTGTGTGTACATTAAATTTGTCAAACGAAAATACAATTATTAAGTTCAGGTGAATTAAGTGCTGATATAAGAGGGTAGTAACATAAGTGATGAGTTGTCACAAACGATTGTTAAAGAAGAGTTACGTAATAACAACATGAATCGTTTAATGAAAGAGTTGTACTCAGGGTGTACATGGAAACAAAATAACATACGGAATTACACAAGGGTTTTAAGTAGTTAGAAAAATAAGCATACAAACAAAAGTTAAGTCAAATCAAATTGAACTAAATATTTAGTTTATTTTACTCCAATTCTAACATTTTTATTTTACTGGTAACACTCGTCTTGTTTCTCATCTTACTGCATTCACATTTCTGAATGTACACTTTATCTTCCTGTCATCTATTTCACGAATGTCAGTTGAAAAGAAGATAAGACATCCTTGCTTGTCACATCAAAATGTGTCTCTATCAGTTTACATGTTTTTGTCAAAGTAAATACACTGGGCGTACAGAAAGATGTCTTTCCCAAACACTACCCCAAATGGCTTTTCAGTTCTCATGATGGCATCCCAAGGAGCTCAGTCACAACACATTTATTGTACTTTGATTATATGTTGACGCTGAGTAAAAGCTTTATAGTTATTATTAATAAGCAAGTTTTTTTAAAAAAATGCTCTTGGTTTGACTGAAACCTGTGCAATCAATCAGATGAAATCAGTAATTTATGCGTATTATCAAGCAAACTAATCAGTGTACAAAATGACTTAAATTTCGTATGTTATCTCAAATTCACTAAATATCTGCATGCCACTGCTAAAAAGACAAAAGAATCAGAAGAAAAGAAACTGAAAAAGTCACTTCATCCGGAACCGCCAAATGAAATTTTCCCAGTGGATATATCTAATTATGTTCACAATTTATCTGATGTCTCCCTATCAAAAGAACAAGTGCAAATTCTGTCAATGGGATTCAACTTCTGTGTTCCGATGAAAAACATAAAGCAAATTGATATCGAATGCCAATTCGAAAATCTTTATGATCAACTTATGGGGCTACATGCCACGTCCAACGACAGCGAAAGTTGGTTGAAAGCAAAGATGGTGGATATTGCTCACCAATTTCGAATCATGCCAACGAATCAAAAGTCGCACATCACCAAAGAACACTGGAGATCATTAAACAAGCTCCGAAGAGACAATAATCTTGTTATTCTACAAGCTGATAAAGGACAAAGCGTAGTGCTAATGAATAAGACAGATTATCTCGAAAAAATGCATCAAATTCTCTCCGATGAATCCAAATTCAAATGGGACAATCAAGCAAAAGATCAAACGTTGTCGATCGAAAAGAAAATTGTACAGCAGCTACGCCAACTATTCAAAAATAAATACATTGATGAAAACACATATAGAAATATCAAGCCGATCGGGTCACAAATCCCAAAACTATACGGGCGTGTTAAAATACACAAACCAGGAGCGCCATTAAGACCCATACTCTCTATGATAAACTCACCATACCACAAATTAGCACAGTGGTTATGTGAAATGTTGGAGCCCCTGCGGAAACGCTTTGGGAAGTATATCGTTTCTGATTCATTCCAGTTTGTCGAGCGAATCAAAGATTTCAACGTATCTGATAAACATTTAGTCTCTTTCGATGTTACCTCCCTCTTCACAAATGTGCCAGTCATTGAGACTATAGACTTCATATGTAAAGAAGCTGAAGACATACCCATTCCAACGTCGGAATTGAGGAAATTGCTACTTTTATGTACCAAAAATGTCCAATTCCAATTCGACGGGCGTTTATTCCGTCAAGTTGATGGTGTCGCAATGGGAAGCCCCTTGGGACCACTTTTCGCTGACTTATTCTTATCACGCCTAGAAACCGGTACCCTGCAACAACATATACAAGAAACGGATCTATACCTAAGATATGTTGATGACATTTTTATTGCCTGTGGAAGCAGATCAAAAGCCGAAGACATGCTGATAAAATTCAACTCATGCCATCCAAATCTCAATTTCACAGTAGAACACGAGGAAAATGATACTATCAAATTCCTAGACGTTTTTCTGGCGAAAATGAATGATGGCACAATCGAAAGATCTATATTTAGAAAGTCCTCATGGACAGGACAGTACATGCATTTCAAGAGTTTTGTTCCAATCCAGTACAAAAAGAACTTAGTCAGAACACTGTTCAATAGAGTACGAAAAATTTGTTCTGACAGTACTGTTGAGTATGAAACAAAATCCCTGAAGGATATCTTATCTAAGAATGGATACCCTGAGAAGTTCATTAATAAATACTCTAAAGAAAACACCCGCTGCAAAACAATCCAAACAGTTCCGAAGAAACCTGTCTACATCAACTTGCCGTTCAAAGGAGATGATGTACAGGAAGTAGTCAAACGAAGACTCGACAAAGCCATCAAGAGAACTTATTATGCTGCAAAACTTGTTTTCCTTAATACCACTAAGCGAGTGCTTCAACAATCTGGGAAAGACCAGTCGCCAATCCTCGACACTTCAAACTGCGTATATCAATTTGAGTGTGTTTGTGGAAGCAAATACATAGGTCGTACGGAAAGGAGATTGTCTACTCGCATGATGGAGCATTTGCCAAAATGGTTGAAAACAGCCGAGTTCAAAGTGCCAAAATCCTCAATAACAAAGCATCTTGTGGATTACGGGCATGATATCGACGCAGTCAAGTCATTCACCATTGTCAGCAGACAAAGAAACAAGAAGATGCTTGCAATTGCAGAGGCTTGTGCAATTCGAGTTTACAAATCAGGTCTCTGTGTGCAAAAGGAGATGGTCGTGACTCTGAATCTACCATGGTAATATGTTTTACTTACAATTCTACCTCTTATTATTATTTTATTATTACTATTATTATTCTCACTATTATTATTATTCTTGATTCATTTAAAACTATCCTTTATCAGTAGCATTATCTTAACCCACTTCAACACTATTATTATTATTATTGTTATATTATATTATTGTTATTATAACTATTACTATTGACATCCCTCTGGTTGCAATTCTTGTTAAATTCTCTAATGTCTAATTGTTTATCTAAGTGATGTAATTGAAGCGTAATGCAATTTATCTTAATTTTGATCTCCCATACTCTCTCTCCCCTTATCTAATTGCACATGACCTGGAAAAACATTCGCACCTGTCTTTCTGCATGACTAATTCAATGTAGTTTATTTACTTATCAGTCCTATATCTCCCAATGTAATTTCAAAACTATATATATCCGTGTATGTAAAGAATTCAGTCCTATATCTCCCAATGTAACTTCAAAAGTATATATCCGTGTATGTAGAGTATTCAGCTGACGAGTTCTACCGAAATTTGATGAATTCATTAAATCCTGCTTTATTAACCTTTATTGCTTGTTTTAAAATCAGATTAAAGAAGGCAGATCTCTGCACACAAAAGGAGACAGTAATCACCTAAAATCTACCTTGGCTTGGCATACTTTTATTTTACCTTCACAAATTTCCTTCCCATCTCCCCTCTCTGTAAAATGATATTTTCTATTATGTACTATTAGTTTACTCAGGATATGTGCGAATTGAGAAATCATAGTTGAGTATTAATTCATCTTGGTGAGGAGTGTTCAAACAGTCTTATGAGTTTAGATCAGACATGTTTATTCTTGTTATTTGGTCTTATATGGTTTGCCTACGTTAAACTTATTTATTTATTTGTTTTTTGTAGAAAGGTTCCTTGTTGTCACAGTGTTCATGTGTTTGTATGTATTTAACCTTAAAAGGGAACTGCATAAAGAACAATGTTTGTAGAGGAGTATTCAGTTGACGAGTCCCTCTAGCGAAACTTATGAATTCACTAAATACTGTTACTTTTACTTCACAGTTGTTGCTTGTTTTAAATTCACTACGGGGAAGAAATGTTTTCATTATTATTTTGTCCAGTGGATATACTGATGGAGTTAAACAGCGTAGCGTCGGGGTAAGTGACTCACACAATGTCCATGAAGGGGTCAATAGGAGAAAACTAGATTGGTTAACTTGGGGGTAAAACAGTTCATTCTTTGGAGGGACGTGGGGGCGGGGGAATTCGTTAACAGAAGTTTCATCACAGAGTAAATTTATCTGATAAAATCTCACAGTGTGACATACAATGTCGTACTTACTGATGACAACGTTTCGAGCACAATTTATTACTACTCAGAATCAGATCAAGTATAAGTACTCATCACACAACTTCTCCAACTTCGTTTATATACATGTGCGTCGGTGGCACAGTGGTTAGGACTCTCGCCGACCATGCACATGGTCTGGAGTTCGATCCCCTGCCGGCGCACACCCGATATCTATGGTCGGCCCGAATTTTGGCTACCGATATCCATGCTGAAAACTCCACACTTGTACTGAAAATACGGTATGGAATCAAGCTGTAAATCAAAAAAAAAAAAAAATCACTAGACATCTGAAAGATTATTTATTTTACGTTTATTTTAGTTTGACTCCACACAGTATTTTTGATACAAGTATGAAATTTTCATCATGCAATATCGGTAGCCCAACCATTGATACCAGGTGTCCGTCGGCCGGGGATTGAATCCCGGATCATGTGCATGGTCGGCGAGTGTCCTAATCGCTGTGCCACCGACGTATTACTTACTATCTTATAATACGGCCTGCTTGAATCTCTCGGCTATCTGAATTTCCATCCAAGAAAATGCTGCATCTTATTTTCTTTAGTTCTTGTTGTGATAATCATCGTTCAGTTGTATCCGTGGATCGCCAAATGTACTCGTGCACATTTTTTAATTGGTTTGCAGCCACCTGTCATTGAGCATTTCATGGGACCAAAGAAACATACCGTAATGGATTTTTTTAATTCTTCAGATGTAACATCACTGTGTCACATGATGTACTTAATGAAGATGGCTGTTTTACTTGAAACTCCTGAATGAAGAGTAAATATTATACAATAGACTACATTGAAGATTGTGCATATTGTGTAAACTGATTGTGCATAATAAAGCGATTATTATTATTATATTATTATTATTGTTCCCTTGGGTTCCTAGTGGAACATAGGGCTTCAACTGCACGTCTCCACTTGATTCTGTCTTCTGCTGTACTTTCCACCTCCATCCATGTTAGTCCATACTGCTTCAACTCCTCTTCACATGATCTCCTCCATGTCACCCTTGCACTGACGTCCCACTCGCCGGTTCCCTTTTGGGTTCCACTCGAGCATTGGCCTGACGTGCAATGTCACACAGCGGCCTCCTCAGCGAGTGTCCAATCCATCTCCACTTTCTCCTGCATATTTGTTCAGCGATTGGTTCTTGTTTTGTTTTGTTTGTTCCCATAGTTTCTTGTTGGTGATTCTGTCCTGCCATCTGATCTTCAGTAGTATAGAACGAAGACAGTTGTTGATAAAGGTCTGCAACAGGCTGTTGAAAATATTCTTGGTGACACACTGGCCAAGTTTCTGATCCGTATAGAAGAACTGACTGACTTGACGTTTGTATTGAAAATCCGAATCATTTTGTTGTTGATGCTGAGTGACAGCGGAAGATTTCCAGATTGGTTTCAGGTTGATGAATGTGTTTCTCGCCTTCCCGATTCTTGATTTGACATCCTCGTCCGTTCCTCCTGTGGTTGAGACAATGCTCCCTAGATGAGTGAATGAAGTAACCTCTTTCAAATTCCTCGCGTTGATAGTGATTGGCTGTTGTTGTTGTTTGGTTATTTTCATAACCTCCTTTTTGTCTATGTTCACCTGGAGTCCTGTCTTTGCTGCTTCTTCGACCAGTTTGTCGGTTTTTTGTGACACCAAACATGAATCATCCGCGAAATCTAGGTCTTCTAGATTCTTCACGTCTGTCCAGGATATCCTTGTCTTCTCGTTTCCCACTGTCTGACGCATAATCCAGTCCACGACAATTAGGTTATTATTATTATTGTTATATTTTACTGATAACAGTTGTCTAATCTCCCATCTTATTGCATTCACATTTCCCAATGTACTTTATCTTCCTATCATCTATTTCATTCATTGCTACTGAACTTTATATTGACCTTTAATTATTCATTCATCCGTCCTATCGATTTGTTACTTATCTATACAAACGTATTTGGAAAGTTGTGTGAATCTCTTGATATGATTATGAGGAGTATACTGTGTTAGAAATTTCATCAGTATATAGCACTGAATAAGACTGTGAGTGTTTTTCATCAAATAAATTTCCTCTACTATGGAATTATATACTCTACCACAGTACACCCGGTTTCTATTCTTCTATCTACGACTGAACTATCGACACTGAAACTTTCTTGACTACGTGAAATTGTTCATTATTTTTTACAAACTGCAATTTTTCACATACTTTAACTTATCTTTGTTATAAGTTGACAACAACCTCTGACCCATCTTGTCAGTTAATATTTTATGTTTCATCATGAGCTGGCATTGGTTAGAGAATCATTGGAAAGCCACCAGGGAGTACTAGATAGCCGCCTCGTCTCATGCTGGGACTCTTCAACAGTACGCACCCACCGCCACCCCAGCACATTTTGGTTACAAGGCAAGGTCGTAGACCATTCAGCCACTGGGACCCGGTTCAAGGTAGGAAGCCTATTCAGTTAGGTTCCAGTACGAAGTTGTGACCAATGGGGTCCATCTGTCAGCAGCGATGACGCTGGCTAGTAGCAGTCACCATATCGTGAATTGGCATAAGTTAGAATCCATGGGCCATTAGATCGGGCTGATATGTACACAATAGGATGCTGCCTTTAACTTTTTCTTGAACAACTGCATACATGGAGAAGATGAGAGGTTAGAGATTCAGTAAAACGGTTTTGTTTTAACTGTAAAATCGATAAAAGTCAAGTATTTTATCATTCGAATGTGTTTTTCCTTTTTTCTCTTCATGTTTTATTTCAAAAACCGTCTTCAGCGTTCTATTCATTTCAATTCATCGTTATGAGAAAGGAAATTTTTGGCCAAATTTACGTGAAGCAAATTATGATTTCATTGGTGAAGGATTAGGTAAAGGTTATAATATCAATATCCCATTGGAAGAGGTAAGCGTCACTTAGTTAATCTTTGAAATCTTTGATTATATATACATTGAGTTCGTTCTTTATGCGAACGTGCTATTATCATTCTAGATAGGTTAGAAGTATGAAAGTATTTCCACGTTAAATTCCAATGCTAAGGAAGTCTTGTTATATTGTTCATATTTGAGTTATCATCAGCTGTGCTATTTGTTCTCCGGTTTGCCTTTTTCGTTTTTTGAAGGCCATTCTTTCATTGACTTCTAAGTTATTGATTTTATCAGTAATCTAATTGTTTGATAATGGTCATTATAAATGCTTATTATTGGTCACAGGATTTCATCATGATCCGATGTCAGTTAGAGTACCACTGGGAAACCACCATGGCGTATTGGACAGCCGTTTCGTCCTAACTTGGGACTCCCTATTAGTACGCACCCACCGGGGTTAGAACCCGACACCTTCTAGTTACAAGGTAATCTAGGTCGTAGACCGTTGAGCCACTGGGACCCGATCTAATGGCTCATGTATTCCAAATTCTACCAATTCGCGAAATAGCGCGACTGCTAGCCAATGTCTTAGATAAGTACCTGTTCTCACTTTCGAACTGCTGTACCCTACTGGTCAAGGCTTCCCACTTGAACTCAGGTAACTACCTGCTTGAATAGGGCCAGTAGCTAGTGAACATTTCATTGATATTCAAGAATTGGTTTGTAGAGTCCCAAACAAGGACGAAATAGCTGTCCAGTACTCCCACGTTTTCCAGGGGTTCTCTAACTGACGTCAGCTCATGATGTAATCCTGTAACCAATCAACTGAATCCCTACAAACTAATGCTTGAACACGCTTATTATTATTATTATTATTATTATTATCAAGTATTGGTATCCACTGATTTGTCTGTTGTCGAGACAGTAAACGATCTTTTTCAACGGTTAAGTCCTACTTTTCGTTTTGATATTCAGATACATCTTGGATTTAGTGGTTTGGATTGTTGGCTTAGCTGTTAGCTGATAAACATATCTTCTGGACTGACGGAATCCGGTAATATTGCTAAACTCTTTGAACACAGAAGATTATAATTAATGAACTAGAATTTGAACACATTCTAAAAGATTTGAATAGTCTAGCAACAAAGCTTAGTGGCACAAATGCATCATATCTGAACCTTTAACGCTTAAAATTAGAAGAACACAGCAGTAACTCTCACTGTCTTGTTTTTGTGATACGAATATATAATTTTTAGAGAAGTTTGTTTGAGAAATGCAAAGAATTATGCATTCGCTTTGTCTTACATTTAACATTTTTGTAACTGTTCATGAGATCTGAAATCTCTAGAAGTAGTGATGTTCACAAATTCCTTCAATTGGGTCAGTTAGTTAATTAATTTAATATTTCTTATCATTTGTTCAATTCATCTAGTTGATTTAGTTTTTTGAAGATAATATGATCTAATCCCAGTGAGACAACCTCGACACTTTTTAAGATGACTGAGATCAGCAATTAGGGTTTTCAAATCACGGAATATACACATTGGGTCATGGGAGTTATTAAAAAGACAATTGCAGCGAAGAAAATTTTCTTTCCGACGAAGTCATCATCTAGGCTGTACATTCGTGTATTTATATCAAATAGATGGGAAAGTTCCAGAATAATTTCTGGTTAGGGGTTAAATTAATAAAAATTACAATTAGGAATTAGAATGCCATAATAAACAGGGGGATGGGTAAAACTCAAACAAAGTAGCATAATAACTAAGAATATTGACATTGTACAATTGGGGTTTAGAAATGTAGAAATAACAACATATACAGGATGTTTGGATGAAAAACCAATATGATGAATACTTGTTTATGCAGTCAGGGATTAAATATGTAGAAATAGTAAAATGACAAAATAAACAGGAAGTGTGGATATGAAAATATGGTAATGTAGACAGGGATTAAGAAAACTTAAAATAACATGAATAAACAGGAAGTTTAGATAAGAAAGGCGATGGGATCGTCATTATTAAAAAAAATTTACCTGTTTATGATGGCCATGACAGGGACAGGGGTTGCACGTATTTCTTTTGGATACAAAGAGTGGGTTTGAGTTTTTGGATAGCTAACGCCTCAGCTATGCCCAAATGTCTTGATTTCACTCCCTTTGATAGGTTTGATTGAATCTTGTATATTACTTTGAATGATTTTTCGAAAGGCGCTGAATGTCCTGAGTTGACCAGATGTTCTGTCACTGAACTGTATACATGTTTTTGGTCTCCTTTCAGGGTTTTCGTGGGTTGGGACTGCATTTTGATTTGACCATGTTACACTTTCTTCCAGTTTGGCTTTACTTCACTTGGTGGCGTGAAATGCACAGCTGGATGATGACTAGATATCATTAAAGCATATTTTAGTCACTTCAAGGCATAGAGATTTAAATTTACCTCCAGTAACTTACCTAACTTATCTAAGACTGTAGACTCAAATTCTTCATTTCTCATGTGATTGGTAGTTAGACGAAAAATGTCTACACTTCTATGAAAGCAGCAAATAGTTAGGCATTCGCAGACTTTGCGGATCTTCTATATTCAAGTGTTAAATCTATTGTGAATCCTATTCATGTGGATTCTGCGTTTATACACACCATTTCCAGTAGTTTTTCTTTTTATTAGTTGTGAATATAAACGAAATTTACGAAGCTTAAGATTAGGATTTATTGGATGGAGGATTCCATCATGAGCTGGCATTAGTTAGAGGACCACTGGAAAGCCACCAGGGAGTACTGAAGAGCTGTTTCGTCCTAGTTTGGGGCTTTTCATTAGGATGCATTCACCAGCAGGGTTCGAACCCAAGACCTTCTGGTTAGAAGGCGAGCTCATGATGAAGTTCTCTATCCAATGAAACAAAATCCCTACAAAACCAATCCTCGAAAATTAAGGATTTATTTTATTGAGTACTAACAGTAATGGTATATACTACTGCTAGATATCAGTAGTTGGAAACCACTCAACCATTTCAGTCAGTAGTGCTTGCCAGCCTGATCAAAGGGATCTTAATAGCGGAAGATCGTTTTACTCGTTTGATGCATCCAGTTCAGCTTATCTGAGACAGTTGAATCATCTCAAGTCATACGAACTTAGCCCGCGGAGCAAGCGAAACATCAGTGTGGCGTTTAAATCACTTCGATCTGGTTCCCAACTACTCACATCAATCAATTAGTAGTATATACCACCTTGCTATATCGCTTATTTTCTGGATTACTATTTTTCCCGTATCAAACAGATTACATATTCTTATAAAAAAGAATATTTTAGGTTGTTCTCAAAGCAAACTTTGTTGAGTTTTCACCTCTAACATTAAGCATGGTCGGAAACGTATTCCGAAAACATGGACCTCGACAGTTATCATTCCAATATAGAGCAGAGACGCTAGATGATATCAGAAGAGTACTCGATGAACTAGACACCAGTGTTTTTTTCACAACATCAGACACGAACACTGTGAAGCAACCTTGTCCATATAAAAGACCAAATCCCTAAAGATTCTCTATCTAATAGTGTCTGTAAAATAAAATGCTTGCTTGGAATGTGATGCGATATACACCGGACAAACATCGCCAAAGTGAAGTCAAGACCGGAAGAAATAAACACCGTAGAGCCTCATCTATTCGACCATCGAGAAATTCAGTTGAACTAGAAAAGCTTGAAAAATCATCAGCCATAGGTCGTCTACACTCTACGCTATTGAATCAAGCCACAATATGGATTTTGACAATATTGAAATAATCCAGAAAAAGCATTTCAGAAATCACAAATAACGTCTAATATCATCGGAAGCACTTCATATCAAATGGAATCCAAACTGTCTGAATAGGAATGATAGACTAAAACAGAATTTGACCTGGTTACAACACCCACCCCACTACCTGCGATGAAATGAAAAAATCAACACGAGTGTGATAAGCAGTTTCACTATGTAAACACATGCTGCTTTTGTCATTTTATACACTTATCAAATCCAACAACCTACACCTGGTTTTGTTATCTTTACCGATTGGTCAACTTGACAAGGAAAAAATGCCCCCTGCTGAGGAACGATGATTAATTCCATATTAGTTTGTTTATTAGGTATATCACACAGTGAAACAGTATTATTTACTGGATGACGTTTCGAATAAAATTTATTGTTCATAATCATATCAATTGTGATCACACGACTTTGACACTTGAGTTTTATAGCTTTCTTTGTTCTCTAGATTTTGCTAAGTTTTTATGTTCAGCTAGTCTGACTGCCCCTGTTCTACTAGTTTGACCTATGTATTTGACCTGACAATCATTCCAGCAGGGTATTAGATAAACTAAATTGTTTTGTTTTAAAGGCTCTACGGGATCCTGTAGCCGACAAAGCTTGTTTCTAATTGAGTTTGTGGGTTTGAATGCCGTTTTTATTCCTGCCTTGTTAAGAATTCTGCGTAAGGCTTCCGAGGTTCCTTCTTTGTATGGAATTACTACTGATGATTTAGACTCTTTATTGTTGGTGTCGTCATCAATACTATTATTATTGTCACTATTATCATTATCATTATTATTGTTATTATCACTATCGCTACTATCATTATTTATTTTATTTTTACATTTCCTTACATATTTCCTGACTACCCGGATAAATTAGTTGGGAAATATGTAAGGAAATGTAAAAATAAAATAAATAATGATAGTAGCGATAGTGATAATAACAATAATAATGATAATGATAATAGTGACAATAATAATAGTATTGATGACGACACCAACAATAAAGAGTCTAAATCATCCGTAGTAATTCCATACAAAGAAGGAACCTCGGAAGCCTTACGCAGAATTCTTAACAAGGCAGGAATAAAAACGGCATTCAAACCCACAAACTCAATTAGAAACAAGCTTTGTCGGCTACAGGATCCCGTAGAGCCTTTAAAACAAAACAATTTAGTTTATCTAATACCCTGCTGGAATGATTGTCAGGTCAAATACATAGGTCAAACTAGTAGAACAGGGGCAGTCAGACTAGCTGAACATAAAAACTTAGCAAAATCTAGATTGGTTGACCCGAGTAAAATAAGAAATCTAGAGAATAGTTCAGCTATAGCACTCACTACATGCAGTCACACACAACCATACAATAGGCTGCGATAGGATGACAGTTTTAAAATCTAATGTTACAGGTTGAATGAAGGGACAGGTTGATAACAGAAGCTTTGTTTATCGAATCAACTGCAAATACATGTAATAGGAATGATTCATCACCTGTCCACCAGGGCATCTGGAAAATTCTACTACCCCTAGGACAAATAGGAGAAAACAAAGAATACTATGCAACTCAAGTTCCAAAGTGGTGTGATCACAACTGATATGATCGTGAACAATAAATTTTGTTCGAAACGTCATCCAGTAAATAATACTGTTTCACTGTGTGATATACCTAATAAACAAACTAGTATGGAATTACTTACTACCACAGTGCCCAAGTTTTACACATATATTAACGATGATTAAGCTGCTGTATATAAAAGCTGAGTGGATTTTGTAAATTATGGTTTAATAACACTTTGATAATGCTATTAGTGGCATTAAACAGCGAGCGAAACGTCAGTAGAAACACTAATACCGTTTTGTTTTTCATTCATTCATTGTGAGATACAAAAAGAAGCCATTATTATAATGAATCTAACTATGTAAATTTACAAATTATAAACTTAATAATAATATTGAGATAATAATAATCCATTGTTTTACTTTTCAGATTGGTATGACAGACTCTGATTATTTGGCTATATTTCATCAACTTATTTTACCTATAGCCACTGAGGTAAGATCACATAAGGATTAAGACTGTTTTTAAAGTTTTTTCCCTCTGTTTTTACATAACTCCTAGTTAATTGCTTCCACAGTTTGTCAAGAGAACGCGCCAAATGCCTATAACCAAGATTATTCATGAACATCAACACTCTGTCATCACCAGCCCTCTATAACTGAAACTTGTAACCAATTATCTCCCTGCAAAAGCAAACTGACTACAAGATGAAGTTGCCTGCAGTTTCCCTGAAAAGTTGTAGCTGTCTGTTTGTCTGTCTGTCTCTGTCTGTTTTCGACATAAAACTTTGCACTGATGTGCGCCAGTTCAAGTCGCCACACTCCATGTAGCACACATAGCAAGAGAAGAAAGTAGAAGAAATGCATAATATAGTCAGTAAACAGAGGTGCGAGACAAAGTTATAGTAATAACGAAGAACAAAACAGTTTCCTCGGAAATCATAAGTCACAAGGAGTGGATGCATCTGCACTAGCCATTGAGAACGATTTTGAGCCATGTCACTAATTGTTTCCAACCATTGATTTTTACCGTCCCGAGGACCCCAACCAGTCAGGAAGTCTACACCTTCCTACGTGACTGGCTTAGACTAACTGTTGTAGATTTGATTGACTGGTGCCATGTTTTTGTTTGACCGCCGCTAGCTCTTTTCCAGCCTGACCCTATATCAGCTAACATTGCCCGTCAGTCGAGGAAGGCGATGGCTAGGCATACGTAACACATGTCCTAACCATCTCAGTCGATGTAATTTCACAGTCTCGTCGACTGATTTCCCCTCCTTACCTAGCACTCGACGCCTAAACTCAACATTGCTCACCTTATTATACCACTTCACATGGGAGATAGAACGCAGGTGCCTATGATCAAAGACAGCTGATCTTTTCATGTCTTCCACTCTCAATGGCCAGATCTCACAGCCATAAAGGAGGACGGAGCGGATTGATGAGCAGTACACACGCCCTTTGTTGACAGCCAGCCTGATATCACGTCTACGTCAGAGACGACGTAAACTGGCATATGCGAAACTAGCCCTCTGTATTCATGCTGAGATTTCGTCGAAGATCAACCCCTTGGGGCTTATGGTACTTCCCAAGTTGGTCAAGCGGTCAATGTGCTCTATCACTTCACTTCCTATTTCTAATCTAGGAGTCGGTGTAGTCCAATGCTGTAACATCATCTTGCTTTTGGCGGGAGAAAAGTTGTAGCTAGCGTTTTCCACCATGTTGGGTGTGAGGAGAAGTACTTGTCGATGACACTGGTTGGCAGCCGCAATGTATGTCGTTAATTGGTAGAAATTAGAAATCACAGGTTATCCAATTTTGTTCGAGTGGCTCAATGGATAAACAGGCTTTCCTTGTAGTCCAGGAAAACCCTTGGTTCACTCCGTACTGGAATAATGAGTGCGTACTGTTGAACAGTCTCAAACTAGGACGAAACTGCTATCCAGTACTCTTTAGTTCCCAATAATTATTTAACTTATTTTAATTTTCAAGTATTGGTTTTTATAGGGATTTTGTTTGATTGCATGGAAGATTTCATCATGAGCTGACATCAGCTAGAGAACCACTGGATGCCACCAGGGAATACTGGACAGTTGTTTCGTCAGCCTAGTTTGAGACTCTTCGGCAGTACGCAGCAGGTTGAAGATGAGGAAGCAACTCATCGAAGAATACATTGCGAAATGGTCGCGCTATGTCGTGAATTGGCAGAAGTTAGAATTCAAGGACCATTGGATTGGGTCACAGTGGCTCAATGGTCTACGAGCTCGCCTTGTAACCAGAAGTTCCTGGGTTCGAACCCCAGTGCATGCGCACTGCCGAAGAGTCCCAAACTAGGCCGACGAAACAGCTGTCCAGTACTCCCAGGTTTTCTAGTGGTTCTTTAACTTATATTAATTAGTAATCTAACATGTCGACGAGACTGTGAAATTACATCGACTGAGATGGTTAGGACATGTGTTACGTATGCCTAGCCATCGCCTTCCTCGACTGACGGGCAATGTTAGCCGATATAGGGTTAGAGAGAGAGAGTTACCGGCGGTCAAACGAAAACATTGCACCAGTCAATCAGATCTACAACAATTAGTCTAAGGAAGCCACGTAGGAAGGTGTAGACTTCCTGACTGGTTGGGGTCCTCGGGACGGTAAAATCCAATGGTTGGAAACAATTAGTGACATGGCTCAAAATCGTTCTCAATGGCTAGTGCAGATGCATCCACTCCTTGTGACTTATGATTTCCGAGGAAACTGTTTTGTTCTTCGTTATTACTATACCTTTGTCTCACACCTCTGATTACTGTCTCTAATATGCATTTCTTCTACTTTCTTCTCTTGCTATGTGTGCTACATGGAGTGTGGTGACTTGAACTGCTGCACGTCAAGGTGGCAATTTCGCCACCACGGTGCGCTTTGAATTGTTGTCACTGGATGGTTGGAGGCACCCATCAGGAAGCATTGCTTGACTTAGGTTCCGTCCTTCTTGGCACTTATCAGTCAGTAAAGCGTATCTGCAGTCTTGAAGGAACTCCTGTCCCTTCTGAGATTCGAACTAATGCTGTAGTCAGAGACGTTATCACCACTGAGCTATTCGGGCTGACGACTGAATTGGAGGAGATCATGTGCGGAGGAAACAAGGAACTAAATCAGCGCGAGGTGTTATTTTTGTATGGCAAATCAATAGACTTCCTAGACTTTTTTTTATCATTTAAGTTGATAGAAAACATGAAAAACAGTTTTTCTTATGAGTAATTTTCAGGCTAACGTTATGCTACTGTTAGTAAATTAAGTAGTTCATGTATTCTTCGTGAACAATTCCCATCGGGACATAAAGAAAATCAAAAACAAAAGCTATTCAGTGAAGGGACTATTTTTCACCGAATTTATTATAAAGCTGTACAATCATATACATAGACATATATATATTCAAGTGTTGGTTTTCTGGGATTTTAACTTCTTAAAGGATTTCATCATAAGCTGACATTGGTTAGAGAACAACTGGAAAACCAACAGGGAGAACTGGACAGCTGTTTCTTGACCCTTGTTTGGGACTCGTCATCAGTATGCACCTGTCACAGTGGTTGGAGATTGGAACTTCCCCGTTCCAAGGAGAGCTCATAGACGTTTATATATATGGTTTTTAAGAAATTATATCCTGTGAGGAAAATGAAACAAAGGTGTGAACATGTGAAATAATGATATTTAGAAATGCAATTAAAATATTTGTGATTATAATCATAGTTAAGAATCAAGTGTCAGATGGAAAAACAATTAGTGTCATATGTGGAAAAATTCGTAAGGTGTGTTAGATGTTAGAAGGGGTTGCATAGTTATGTGGTTAGTAGTGAATACGGGAGTAAGGCAAAACTGGCTAGCTACCTACTATCTTCAATGAATTTCCTGATTACGGGCTGTAGATTGGGTCGTGCGACAGAGAGCTGGCGGGGCCGGGAAACGAAGAGACAGGCATAAAATGCACCCACACAAAATACTTGCACTATCTGGATTTTGCCCTTGATGATATTCATATGTGTCTGATTTCCCACAAACTGGAAGATATGCAAGTGAAAAGCAACAAGTTGGCGATAGAAGAATAAGCATCCAGGGAAGATAGGAAAGACTTTAGGTTAATATATAGAAAACAGACGTAGGTGATGAGGACTCCTGGACCACAGCAACAGCGACAGCAACAACAACAGACATCAATCAGCCAGCGTGAATGGGAGAAATCTGAAAGAAGCAACCTCCCTTACCTACCTACCTACCTACCTACCTACCTACTAAGCGATCTGGCAACCTAACGACCTGGGAAGCATCGTTTCAATTATAGGCCGACCGAACTGATGAGGATGTCAAAACAGCGAGGACCGCGAAAGCAAGTCAAGCTTTCATTACTAGCAACAAGTCTATGTGAAGATCAACAGGACTCACCATTCAGCACTCACCACTCAGCATGAGAATAACATCCAAATTTTCAACTCCAAGGTGAAGTCAGTCAGTGCTACTCTATACGGATCAGAGAATTGGCGCCATGCCGCGCTGCACCGCACCGCGTCAGGAAGGTCACTTCCAACAAACTGAACACCTTCATCAACAGCTGTCTTGGCTCAATACTACTCAAGATCAGATGGTCTGCCAGAAATGATCAATCAGCAACAGGTAGGAATCTCTGAGATCCAACGAACCAACTGACCAACCAACCTAGCAGGAACCAAGTGTACAACAAATCTGCATGAATAAATGAAGTTAGGTTGATTGGCCATACTCTGAGAAAGCAAACTGTCATCCATCACACGCCATCGCAGGCCAGGCCATAGCTCGAGTGGAACTTTAATGGGAGGCGGCGAGTTAGTTGGTCGTCAGTGCGAGGATGGGGTGACATGCAGGAGGAGGATAAGGATGAGGATGAGGTTATGCGAAGAGGAGATGAAAGCATGTTGGCAGACGTGGAGCCAGGTGAAAATTCTGGCTGACAACTGAACGCGGTGGAGACGTGCAGCTGAATCCCTATGTTCCTCTAGGAACTAAAGGAGATAATAGTAATAATAATAATAATCATAGTATAATAACAAGTGTTACGAGGAAAGTAATGCTGGAGATAGTTCAAATTGAAAAGAACAATTGTTATAATCAAAATAATAAGTGAAAGGCATACAAACTAAATAAACTAAACGAAAAATATGTAGAGCTAAAATATGAATAGGGAATATCATACTTTAGCATGGCGTGATTAAAACCATGAGAGTTACGTGCGTGTTGGTGGGGAGGGGGGAGAGATAAATTTTTCATCTGAATTCAGAGATCTGGCTTTTCTATTTCAATGACCAAAGCTTCAGCAGTACAGATGAATCGGGCACTTAATAATTTAGAAAAATTATATTCCGCTTTGTAGATGAGTTTAAAGTTTGGAGCTGTAGAGGCTGGGTGATCACTATCGAACAGATGTTCAATGATTGCGCTTCTAATAGCTCCGCTTAAAATACTGAATTTCTTTGTAATATC